AGACTGTAAAGATGAAGTGCAGAGGCTGGCCTTCTGGAACCTCAGACTGCAAGGATCACAGGGTGGTGAGTTGCTGGAATTTTCAGTTTGCCCAGACTGGATTTGAAGAAGACATTAATGCAGAAACATCAATGAGAAACAAAACAGAACAAAACAAAACAATCCCTAGAGAAAGTCTACCCAATCTAGGCAAAGGATCAGAAGAGAAAGGGAGGGCCCACACCCCAGAAAACTTCTAAACAACTCCTCTACTCCTGCCAAACCAGAAAATGATACAACTAACTAAAGATAAACATCCTTAATGAAACAGATGCAAAATTCCCAACAGAAAACTCACAAACTGAATACCATAGCACATTTAAAGGGATATTCATTATGACCAAGTGTGGTTTATACCAAAAATGCACCTACACAAAGTAAATGCAGCAGATTATGTAAGCAGAGATGAAGGTAAAACTCTATTATCTAAATAGGTATAGAAAAAGTTTAAGATAAAGTTCCCTTCAAGATTAAAATTCTGAATGAGTTGTGTATAAAAGGATTGTACCTCAGCATACTGAAACCTACATCTGATAAATATAATAGGAAATGCCTGGTAAACCCACCACCAACATCATGCTGAATGGGGAAAATCATTTCTTCTAACATTGAGGATAAAACAAGAATGTTAGCTCTTAGCTTACTTATTCACTATAGTAGGAAAATTTTAGCCATAGAAATTAGGAAAGGAAAAGAAATGAAGGGTATAAATAGAAATTATGGGACTGAAGAGACAGCTCAGCCGTTAAGAGCTTTTGCTGCTCTTTGGGTTTCAGATCCCAGTACCACAAAGTGGCTAAATACTATCCTTTTTCTGGACTCCATGCAATTATCCTCACATGGCACACTTACTTTTAGTCAAACATTCATACATACACATAAAAGAAATAAATCTTTTTTAAAACAACAAAAAATGGAATAACAACCCTACACACATACACTCAATCCCCCCTCTCATTGGTTGGATGATATAATTTTGTTCAAATATTTTTACCACCTAAACAATTCACAAATTCAGTGTGATCTCCCATCAAAGTGTCAATGACATTATTCACAGACTCTGATGATGGTGGTGGGGAACCTAAAATATACATAGAAACACACAGAGGACCCCAAAGAAGCCAAAGAAAATGAAGAAACAGAATTGGAGACATCACAGAGCCATATAACTACAGCAGCATGGTATTGGGCTCAGAAGAACACTAAGATCATTGGAACAGCATAGAGACTCAAGAAACAAACCCACATATCCATAGTAAATTTACTCATAAAAAGTCAAAATATAACTAACCCACAGGAAAGATGACACCTGCAGTAAAAGGTGCTGGGGATATTATTCATTGGCAGGATGTTAGGATTTGACCCCTACCTCTCATCCTGTACTATGATACACTGCAATGAATAAGATACCTAAATAAAACAACCCAAACTCAGAATCACCTAGAAAGAAATGTAGGTAAAATACCTGAGACACTGGAATTAGCAATGGTTTCTTTTTTAAAAATGGGATTCAAACAACACATGAAACACAGCTGAGTGGGATTTCATCAACCTCAAGATCTACACAGTGGAGAAAACAATCAGCAGAATGAAGAAACAATTTACAGCTTGGCCACTACTTATCTGACAAAAGATTGAGATTATTTTATAAAAAGACCTCAAAATTAATTAAAAGAGCAAGGAACCCAACTAAAATGAACAAATGATTCAAATAGATTCTTCTCAAAAGAAGTAATGCAGGGTGAGGGATTGGGAGGATTGGGGGGGTGGAGGAGGAAGGGAGGGAGAGAACTGAAAGTGACATGCCTAAAAACTTAAGTAAAATATATATAGAAGTAATGCAAGTGGCCAATAGGTAACAAAATTCAGTATAGTTAGGCACAGTGAAATAAAAACTAAGACTATTTATGCTGACACATCATCTTGCCCTATTTAGAATAGCCATTACTACTAAAATAACAAAAGCTGGAGAATGCTGAGACAGGAGCTTCCTGCTGGCTGATAGGGATGTAAATTAGTAAGCCTTCAGGAACAATAGTATGATCATTCTTTGTTGAGCTAGAAAATTATGGAGGCTCCTTGCAAACCTAAAATTAGGCCTACTGCGTTATCTAATTGGTGCACTTCCGACTATGTCTAAGGAAAAGGAAATCAGTATCCCTAAGATATACATGCATTTTCATGTTGATGACAGTAGTCTTTGCATGTGGCTGTACAGTGGTTTGCTATAACGGTCACTGACACAACTCATTTCCCTGTGCATTTCCAGAAGATTGGTCAAGTTCAGCTTGGAAAAATTCATCAAGTAACTCCAATGTCCTGTTGTGTCAGCTGAGGCAATGGGTCTGTCATTATCCTAACACGAGTCAAGAGCAAATAAATTCCTAGGCAGTTACTTCAGAGAAAAGATAATCCTATGCACCTTAAACCTGTCAGCCATCCCACTAATTCATGCCCACTCAAATAGTATTGGTATTGACTTCATCCTAAAGATAACTGAAGCCATTATGAAAATTGTCTACAATCAAATTTTCCAATACCTTGATTTTGATATTAATTACCATTTTTCCCACCTTAATGAATTAAGAGGCCTATATTTAAGATACTCCATGAAAGCTGAAGCACATATCTTAATATATACAATGAGGATGGTAGTCTTTGAATTTACACTCCATAGCTATCATTAAAATAAAAATATGTCAAAGTCTTTAAATATTTGAGGAATTACTATAATTTTGTGAATATACAAATTCTGCTCAATTTCTAGTTAGACAATACTTAATCATCAACCCCAAACAACCCAAAACACTTTATTATGAAATATCTGAAAATGTTGCAAGCTTTATGGGAACAAAATTCTCTGTAATCAGGATGTTTGGTTAAATTCCTTAACTTTATGGTCATAAGTTAAGGTCTATGTTTAGTTGATTCTTAAAAGTCAGATTCAACAAAAAGTTTGTACATATGCCATTTCTCATCTGCTCCAGATGCATTTTGTAAACAATATCTTCACTGTTATTTACACAATTTTAATTTATAGACTGATATTCAGTTATCTAGTAAACATCAACAGGGTCTCAAAGAGTTGTTTGCAAAGTCTTTGCATGGAGTGTCTGTTCAATGAAAGTTGTCAAACAATAATCTTCAAAATACTGTGCTTCTCAAGAGCACACCAAGAGATGTATCTCTTGTCTTTGATGGGTTGACAGACTGAAACTCTTATCAATGCAACAAATGGAAAGCTGCCACCTATAAAACTCATGCAGTTGTCAAATTGAGTGCTGGAAATCATTCCAGACCTCTGTATCCCTTAGCTGATTCAGTCCATCTGTCAGCAAGTGTGACGGTTTTATGAGCTAAATACTTCTCAGACTTACATCTTTGTTTTTCCTTTTTCTTTCTTGAAGTATCTCTGTTATTATTACATTTTAATTTTTAACTTCTAAAATTAAAATATAATTACATTATTTTCTCCTTTCCCTTCCCTCCATCCAACCTCCCCCCATGTACCCTCTTTCTTGCTCTCTCAGCTTCTTTGATACTAAAACACTTGAGAAAAACATGCAAGATAGGAAACTGATAAGTATAATACATTCCAGCAACTTCTGAGTATCTTCTGCTAGAAGAAAAATTATTATACATTAGTAATATTTTAATGACAACTGGTAAAGGGTAAAGTGGAATGCTTATCTTTTGAACCAATACAAGGACAGACAGATTCAAGTATGACAACACAGGGTATGATCAACAGTTAAAAGTCATAGCGTTGCAAGCTGGGAAAGTCTTCTAAGTGAAAATTTAGTGTGAGACCAACTGCCTAATATCACTGAGTCATTTTGGAACAGTAACTTCCAATTTATATGTCCTTTTAAACTATGTATTGTCATCTTTTAAAAATTAATCCTAAGAATCTAAGCAATGCACATAGCTATATGTAACATGTGCACAGGGCAATATTCAAAGTCCTCCAAGTATCACCTTACTATTGAATATCATGAAGAGTCTTTGTTTTTGTTTGATTTTTTGAGACAGGGTTTCTCTGTGTAACCCTGGCTGTCCTGAAACTCCCTCAGTAGACCAGACTGTCCTTGAACTCACAAAGGTCCTCCTGCCTCTACCTGGGATTAAAGGCATGTGCCACCACCACCCAACTCAAGATTCTTATATTATAATGCTATACAAAAATATCAAGTGCCTTATGGCCTTTATGCAGTGGGATTGACTTTGTTTTACTAGTTCCTTTTTTATATCATTGCATAAAAGTCACATCAAAGTGAACTGTGCAGATGTCATCAGAGCTCATTTTCTGCTATTGGCCATCAGCTGATTAACTATTATCTTCTCCTTTTACATTTAAAACCAGAGATTTATATTAAGATTTTGCTTGGTACTGTGTTTTTAAGATGACACACTTGGATCTGGGTAGATGGCTCAGTGGTTGAGAGTACTGGCTGCCCTTGCAGAGGACCTAACTTCCATGACTCTCTGCACCCACACAGCAACTCACATCCATCTGTAACTCCAGTTCCAGGAGACCCAATACCCTCTTTTGGCCTCAGTAGACACCATACATGTTTGTGGTGCACAGAAATACATGCAGGCAAAGAACTTATATGTATAAAATAAAAGAAAAAATTAAAAGATGGCATTCTTTCTGTGCCAATTTCTCAAAATATGGACATAACAATGAAGTTTTATACATTTGTAAATGTATGTGTAAATTCAATGCTTGGGCCCCCAGTCTTCACGTGCCAATCAGGGTGGAACTCAAGAGAAGCTGCTGTCCAGCTGTGGGTGATTCCTTAATGAGTCTCCCAACAGATGTAAACATTGTTCTCAAAGGAGGAGCGTTCTCCAGATTTTGATGCTGCAGTTCATTGGCCAGTCCACAGGCCAATTAGGAAAGATCCCTTAACCTCATAAGTAAAATTTGAGATTATGTTCCTTTTCAACTTCTAAAGAGAACTAGAGGGCGATAAAACTGGCCACTGTATGCTGCCTGGAATCTCTCAGCTACCCACAGAAGCCAGCATGTCTTGGGTCCTGCTTTCTGTCCTGTGGCTCACCATGCAAACCCAAGGTAAGTATAAGCATCTTATAGAATACAAAGTAAGTATAGGCATCTTATAGAAAAAATCATATCATTTGATGAGCAAACCCATGATAAAAATGATCTTTTCACTCATAATTCAAAGGTCGGTACACTTTATATCTTGTGTCTTTCTCCACTGAAGTGAACTATACACTTACATGCACTCATAATAGTTTATACATACATATGTATAGGTGATGTTATTTTTAGATCACATGTGAAACATGTATTCTAAAGTTTACTATATACTGTTTCAAATTTTATAAACTTCACTAAATAATAATCATATTTGCATATGATGTGACATTTTTCAAAATAGATGAAACAAAGTTTGATTATTTCTCTATTTACATTTATATTAGTAAGTTCAATTGTATTAATATAATCATTAACCAAGACTATGAATTGGTACTTTGGGAAATTTCTCAGTAGTAGGGCAGGATCTTCAATACTAGGGCATAGTGAAAAGAAAAGTCCTGGAAAGGTAACTCTTTCTCCCTTTGAAGCTTATTGAGAGATTAATCAACAACTTGATAACCATTATCTTCTCCCTTACTATACCACGCGTAAGCTTAATGCACCAATGTCATCACTGGTTATCTTGCTAGGGGTGGCATCACAATCATGTTAAACAGTCAAATGCTGGGAGCCTGCACATTCATAAACATGTACATGGTAAGTCTCCAGCTGAAAAAGCTGAAGACTACAGTTAGGGAATTTACCTAAGCTCAAAACACTCCTTGTTCAATGATAGTATGCAAAGGTTCTTATCTAGGGCTAGCTACAGCCCTTGTGTGTCTCATATGTTTCTTACATTGTTAAGCCCTAGTGAAGTTTCCAAAGAGTTGGTAAAGTAGAATGACAGACAATAATTGTGTCATATAAGCATACATACTAAATCTTTTTAAGTCTTCTTAGTTCTTGTGAACACTGTGGTCACAGTTATGGCTGCAGTTTGCACAATAATTTAGTTAAGTGTCACACCTCTAAAGGACTCTGATTGCTATAAGTAAGAATCTGTCTCAAAGCTGTGGAAAAACCAGCATTCAACGATATGACCCATGCGAACAACTTCAAAATTTCCCCCGTGTGCTTTTTGATTCCTTAAATTTTCTCTGAGAGAGGTCAGTAAGAACTTTATATTCTGTGAAATCTACAGTTTTGAAGGTAAAACTGTAAAGAAAGATCATCCTTGCTTATTGTCAACAGATGCATGAAATCCCCAGGAACAGGGTCCCTCCTAAGAATAAAGTAATGCTTGCATGTGGAAATCTTCATTTTTGGAAAGTATGGTCAGAGAAATTGCAAGCTGAAGAAGACTGCAAAGGAACACATTCAGTTATTACAGACAGTCTAGGTTTACCAATCACTGTTCTTGATCCAAGATGAACTGCCTCTCTCCAAGGAGGTGCACAGTTTTCCATGTCATTCCAGAAGTTAGAAAGACAAGAAAGTTGTCATTAAAGTTGAAAAGGGGGAACAACCTGTTCTGAATGGTTAATTCATATACATAGGATAATCAGCCAAACAAATCAAAACACTGTCAGTTTTTCTTATCAATGTTTTCTTGCTTTCTCTAGTGATAGATACGAAGTCAACCCCTGAGTTAAAACTTCACGAAATAGTTTATCCTAAAAAACTACCCATCTCACACAGAAGAGGAACTGAGAACAACCAGACTGAGAGATATGGCAAAGACGTAAGTCGTGTTTCACCATCATCTGAAGACAAAACGAAAGGCTTTCAGAGATAGTGAGATATCACAGTCAATCTCCAGCAGTTTCATCTTGCAGGTCATCTATGAGCTCGGCTTTTGAAGATTCTAGGAGCCCGTTAAAGTGTTCCAGGCTATAAGCTTACTTCCCCAGGTGGGGAATCTGGGTACCTGGAAGTCTGTTAGCTAGAGCTTCTCGGTTCTCTAGGGGAGGATGGGGGTTGCTATCAGTATCTGTGAGAGGGGAGGGGTGGCTGCAGGTGCTGTGGCCTAAGTAGCAGTCACATCTTAACTGTGGTGGAGAGATAGCACAAGACTCTTCTGGGCTTAGTAATAATTCAACATCAGAGAAGCAACTGCCTGGCCTGATGTTAAAGGTAAAGTTTCTTGGGCTTGTCCTCAAATCCATGGGAGAAAAGAAGGGATCACAAACAAGGCAGATAGTTCTAGAGGCAGGCTTTCTTTCCTTTCAGCCTTTTCACACTCCTGCCTTCTCTTCACTCACCCATTCCCCAGTGACTACACTTTTCTACATCGTAGAAAGATGTTCTACCGTATTTCCAATATTCTCTCATTCTGTAATATTTATTATTATCAATAATCATTATTAATATTCATTATTAATTATTATATAGATAATATCAAATGGTAGTTGTATAAATATATATATAGTATAAAAAATTATTATATGTAAATACAATATATAATTATTTTACATATTAGATTAATGTGTGTGGTTGTTAGGTGATTATACTTTAGGAAGTCCATATTAATGTTTAAATTACATTTATTATAGATTAATATAATATGTAAAAGAAATGCTTTAAACTTCTGTATTTCTGCAATTGAAATGCATAGTGTACATAACTGGCATGCTGTAATAGTTTTAGATTGGCTGAGAACTATGTGCTTATAACTACATCATTAAATATTTTCAGGAAAGATATGCACCCGAAGTTCAATATCAGATCATACTAAATGGAGAAGAAATTATCTTCCACCTAAAGAGAAGCAAGTAAGGACAATTAACTTCCTGAAAGCCCAGCCATTGGTTGTAGTAACAGAATATTGGGATACTTCTTGGCTGTTGCTTCATTTATGTGACTGAGATAAAATACCCTGATAAAATCACATTAAGAGAGAGGGGTTGCTTTAGCTTACAGTTCCAGGCTGCGGTTCAGAACTACAGGGAACTGCAGTGCTGGGGCCTTAAAGCAATTGGTCATATGTTACCCGCAGTCAGAAGCAGTTAGGAAGGCAAGCATGGCTCCTGCTCAGCTCACTTCACCTACTCTTACACACCCTAAGGTCCCAAACAGGAATGGTGCCATGGGGTACACTTCCAGGCTTTCCCTTCCCGTGTAAGTGAAGGCACCCAAGACAATCTCCCATAAATGTGCACAGGGCCTCCTGTGCCCAATAGGAGACTGAAACAGTAGAACTTCCAGAAGCTGGCCTGTCTTACACAGTGAGACAAGAGACAAAGATGAAACCCTGTCTTAAACAGGTGGGAGATGAGGACTCATACATGAGTTTGTCCTCTGATTATCATGTCTGTGCTGCAACATATGCAATTGCATAAAAACACACATATACAGAAACCACCCCCTCCAATCCACACACAGACGAGAATTATCCCTAAGCCTGAATCAGGGTACACAACCTAGTGATAGATTCTAGAGGAAGAACAATGGGCAGCACAAGTTTTCTAACAGTCAATAAGCCTCCTTTGTTGGTATCTTACCCACACCTATGACTCAGCACCCTCCAAAGACGGTACCCTTGCTCCAAAGAATCCCATCATGGCTCTACCCACTTGTGTTTGAAGATAAATCTGCAAGTGAAAAAGTAATTGAGTGAATTTCCTCCTTCAGGGTTACCTACATGTTTTGATTTGTGTTTCTAGGAAAGTCCCAATGTTGGAAAAAGATCAATGGTCCAAACTCAGTGTTATTGTGTACACAGTTATTCCCATAGTACAGAAGATGGTATCAGATAAATCAGTATTTTCTGGTATCATGAATGACTTACACAGCTTTCTACTCTCTGCAGGAGTCTTCTGGGGCCAGACTACACTGAAACATCTTACTCACCTAGAGGAGAGGCAACCAGACGCTCTCAGGATGTGGTAGGCTCTGAATGCATCATGGGATCTGCCATTTACCTTGTCAAATGCATAGGTCTGAGGAAAGCTTTTAAATGCATCAAGTGACCTGGAAGAGAAATGATTATCCAAGGCCAGGGAGACAACTTTAAAGACAGGAGTGAACACACAGTAACACTCATATACACAATGCTGATACACCTGAACACTCAATTAGACATCCCCACACACTTAACCAAAGTATTTATTTATTTATTTATTTATTTATTTATTTATGTGTGTGTATGTAAAATATCTACATTTATAAAGCTCAATATATTTTCTATTACAGAAACCCTGCTACTATGAAGGCCACATCCTGAATGCAAGAGACTCTCTTGCCAGTATCAGTACATGTGATGGGCTGAGGTAAGAACTGTCATAAGACATTTTAAATACTAAGTGACTTTTAGTCACACAGTCTTAAGTATTTCTCATGTCTTCTGTTTTCTTATTATTATTTGGATTTTTTTTTGTTCATCACTAATCCATAAACTGAATCACGAGGTTAAACTAAGGAAACTATCATGGTACAGTCACTGTTCTAGAAGTCAGTCCCAGCTCTGTCAAAGCTGACCACTGAACCTCAATGACATGTATGTCCATTACCAAGTTCATCTGCCTCACTCTTGGAATCTATTGGGTCATATTTTCTTAACATGTCATGTGTGTAGTTTTATATATCTTGTGAGTTAAAACATGAAATAAAACATGTAATTGTTATTCTAGCATGGTTCATATTTAACATGACATTACTTTTTCTGTATTATAAAAATGCCTCCATGGATATAGTTTTATTAGCTTTTACACTGAATTTAATAGGTGGACATACAAAGTAATTTTTTGTTTCTTACCTAATTGTCATAGAAAAAGAGTCAAGCTATTCTTAGATCCAATTTGTTATTTAGCTGTTCTAAATGAACCTTTTGTTGTTCTTTCTAGGCTTCTGGGTGTCTAAATAGTCATTTACTCAATTCTATACTCTATTCATAGAAACTTCCAAGGAATATTTTATAAACTAATAAGCAACTAACTATTGGAGAATATTTAGTAGACTCATGGCATTAACTCCAATTTCTATGGAATTGCTTCATTTTAGTAATTCTTGAGCCTACTCTGGTAAATGACATACACTTCCTTTTTCTTTTTCTTTTTTTTACTTTTATTGAAAATGGTCTTTTTTCTTGAATAATATATCCTGATTATGACTTCCCCTTACTTACTCATTCTATTTCTTCCACCATCTTCAACTATTCAGTTTCACCTCCTTTCTGTCTCTCATTAGAAAATAAATAGGATTCTAAGGGATAATTATACTATACCTATACTATACTATACTATACTATGATAAAACAAAAACCAATACATAGGAATAGGATAAAACAAACAAACAAAAACAGAGGGAAAAGAGCAAAAGAAGAGAAACAAGAAACATATAGACACAGACAACCACTTATTTTCACACTCAGCAATCCTGTAAAATCCAATAAACTGGAAGCCATGAGTATATATGCAAAGGACATATAAGGTAAAAAGAGAAAAAATGGGTAAAATAATGGCATTATGAGACAAGACCCTCCAATGGCAATGTTGAGTTCCTTTTCTGTTGGCAGGTAGCTGGGCATGCAGCCTACTTAAGAGTAGTTTGTTTTCCTAGAAATATTCCCTTAGAGAAAGTTAGATTTTCATTTGCAAGTGGTCAACAAAGGAGATGGCTTCTGAGTTAGAGATGACCTATATCTACTTCTCCTTTTAGCTCTTGGATCCTATTGGCAGAGACCTGTGCAGGTCCTATGCATTCTAGCTCAGTCTTGGTGAGCTGGTATGTGCCTGAACCCTGTTGATTTAGAAGGCCTTTTAAAGTTGGTGTCCTCCATTCTCCCCTCTGATTCTTACATTCATTTTATCGCTACATTTGTTTTAGAGCAGTAGTATTTGTTTTTACCCCAGATCCCTGAGCTATCTAGTCTGGGCTTCTCTGTCACCCAAGAAGTGTTGGGTATCTATCTCATGGAGTGGGCCTTCAGTCCAATTAGATATTGGCTGGTTACTTCTGCAAGCTTTGTGCCACCATTGCACAAATGTATCTTGCAGGCAGGACAGCATTGTAGATCAAAGGGTTTGTGGCTGTGTTGGTGTTTACATGTCTCTTTTTGTAGCATTCAGAGTACCTTCCTGAACCATAGATGATAGTTCATAGGGGTGAAGCTCTATATAGGCACCAGCTCCACTTCCCCACATTCAATCAGTTATGTAGTGTTGTATTCAGCAATGGGCCCTTCATGTCAGTAATCTATATTCTTGGCAACAGCCTGGATTATTTTGGGGTTCCCATGAGACCCTTTTGCCCAACAATTAAATTCGATGTGACCTAATCCCTGGGAGGCTTCATTTGGTGACAAGAGATGACCAGTTGTGACATGGTCTCCTTAATTATTTGGTGATTTCATCTAGATCCCCTTCATATATTTATATATTTCACTGCAGTAAGTTTTCATACTACTCTTCAAATGTCCCTTGATTTTAGCTCTCTCTCCCCATATTCTCTCTCCTGTCCTCTCTTCTCTCCCCTCCCCGCTGTTGAACTTCCCATTTCACTCTCTGTCATCCATCCATAACTATATATTCTACATAGAGAGATTTTTTCGCCCTAGTATTTTATTCTATACCTAACCTCTGTGGTTCTACAATTATAGCTTGGTTGTCATTGACTTAATAGCTAATATCCACATATAAACAAATACAAACCATATTTGTCTTTCTGTGTCTGGGATACCTCATTCAGGATGCTTTTTTCCCCTTGCTCCATCCATTTACCTGCGAATTTCATGATGCCATTTTTTAACAATTGAGTACTATTCCATTGTTTAAATGTTTAAAAATCTATTCATCTTTGAGGGATACCTAAGTTGTTTCAAATTTCTGGCTATTGTGAATAGAGCAGCAATGAACATGGTTGAGCAAGTGCCTGTGTGATAAGATGAAGCATCCTTTGGACATATATCCAAGAGTGGTATAAACTAGATCTTAAAGTAAATTGACTCCCATCTTTTTGAGGAACTGACACACTGATTTCTATAGTGGCTGTACATGTTTTCACTCCCATCAGCAATGGATAGGTACTCACCTTATTCCTCATTGCTGCCAGAATGAACTGTCATTCATCTTATTGATCTTAGCCATTCTGGCAGATATAAGATGAAATCTCAAAGTGATTTTGATTTTCATTTCCCTGATGATGAAGGATGTTGAATATTTAAGTGTTCCTCAGTCTTGATTTTTGTGTTTTGAGAATTCTCTGTTTAGATATTTGTCCTATTCTTAAAGTGTTTTTTTCTTTGATATCTATTTTTTTTAGTTCTTTATATATCTTGGACATTAGCCCTCTATTGGATGTGTGGTTGGTAAAATATTGTCCTACTCTGTAACCTTTCACTTTGCCCTTTGATATACAGAGGTGTTTCTATTTCATGAGGTCATGCTATTAATTGTTGACCCCAGTGTCTGATGGCATGATCTCAATGTGTGAAACTGGAATGGAGGGAAAGTTGCATTCCATTTTGAGTGAGATGTATGAATGGGCATGCAGGGCATCTTAAATCACAATCTTATATCCCACAGAGGGTACTTCACACATCATGAGCAAAGATATCATATAAAGCCTCTCCAAAGCACAGATGAAGGAGAACATGCTGTCCTTCCATACAGCCAAGGGGAACCAGACACAACTAATTACAACCATGGTGACAAGCATACAGGCAGGAAACGAAGCCATCTTCGAATTTCCAGGTCACTGAAAAGCCCAAATGTGAGTATAACTTTCAACCTATATATTTTGGCTGTCTAAGCAAGGATATAAAGTACACAGGTGTATTCAGAATGACTGATACATGCAAAGTCTCTGTTTATTTACTTCTTTTAAAACTTATTTTGGTGGAAAAAAGTATAAGTATCTGAATCATTGTGAGTAGAGATGATTATTAATGAGGTTCTCTTGTTATTTTTAAAACAGAAAGACTTCCAAGGACAAAAATATATTAATCTCTTCTTGGTGCTGGATAATGCCTTTGTGAGTACAAAAGATGGGTATCCCTTTTTTAGTTCTTTCAACATACAAGTCAACTTAAAAGTGAAAGAATCCATAAACTTGTTTAGTTATCAATGCATTTTTGTTCAGCTAGATGTCGTGATTGCTTTGACTGCTCTGTTGATAACAGTTTTCACACATCCCTTGCCATTTATTATTAGTCAGTCACCAAATAGTCATATAATGGCAATGTTCTTAATACCATATACCTTATGACCTAGTTTGCTTTTTGTTGCTATGGTAAACACCATGACCAAAAGCACCTTGGGGAGGAAAGGGTTTATTTAGCCTATAACTTATACAGTCCATTGTCTAGAGAAGCTGAGGCAGAAACTCAAGACAGGACCTAAGGTAGAGACCATGTAGGAACACAGCTTTGGGCTTACTTCCCTCGCTTGCTCAGCCATCTTTCTTATACATCCCATGCCTACCTGGCTAGGGGTAGGACAGCTCGCAGTGAACTGGGCCTTCCCATACAAATATGAAATCAAGAAAATGTTCTACAGAGATGCCTACAGGCAAGTCTGAGGAAGGTTATTCTTCAGCTGAGGTTCTTCTTCTTAAGTGACTCTAGCCAGCAAGTACCTATAAAAATTAAAGAAAAATATTTTACTAAAAATTAAAGAGAAATATTTTGCTAAAGTATTAGATTATTTTAATTTTTACCATAAAATATAAAAGTCAATTTATATAGACAATATGGAAATATGAACACAAAGCTATGTACAACTTACAAAGGTATAAATACAGAGAAGCTAGAGTTTATGTTGCCTCATAATCAAACCTGAATTAATATTGAATGGATAAATATATTTAAACTATTAATTGATGTATTCAACTTAAAGACAAACAAGATAGCCCATTTCTAACCCTATAGTCCAAGACTGGAAAGCTGAAGCAAGAGGAAAATAAGTTTAAAAGCATCGTGACTGAGTAGTGAGAATCTACCTCATGCCAAACCAAGCCAAACAAACAGAGAGAAAAATGAAAGACATGATGATGAATGTCTAATTTTGATAGTCTCAAAACCTCTATATTTGAAATAGAATTTGTTCAAATAGAATCTAATATAAGGTAGTCATGGATTGATCAGATGTATAATATACTATATATACTTTTTATTTAATCCTGCCCCCATCAGCTTTCTCCCTTCAATTTTCTATTGTAATTTTGTATTACTGCATTCTGCATTTTCAGTATAAGATGCATAATGGAAATGTGACTCAGATAAGAAGCTTTGTGTTTGAGGTTCTGGATCTGCTCAATGTGGTAAGGCATCTGTCATGTATGTGTGTTTCCAAACCTGTGTTTGGGCTTCCTTGTGACTTACACTGTATGGGGCTAAAAGTCACCTTAGGGTAGGAGATCATTGGTGAAAATCATATCCAGTAACAAGGGCATCTTCTAGAACTTCTGTTTTCAAGATGGAAATTCATGATATCTATTGCATCCCTTTCATGATATTTATTGCATCCCTTTATCTATCACTTATGGTCATCAAGTGTGCTAAAACTAATCCTGAGTTAGTTAAAAATGTTCTTTCCATAGATTTTTAAAGCCATAGATATTCATGTGTCTTTGGTGGATATGGAAATCTGGTCTGACAGTGATAAGATAAAGGTGGAACCCAGCATTGGTACCACATTCCAAAGCTTTGCGAGATGGCATTACTCTATCCTGAGAAAAAGGAAGATTCATAATCATGCCCAGCTTCTCAGGTGAGTTCTTCTTGCCAGGGCAGGGATACAAAGGAAGATTGGGTGGTTATCTCCAGAGTTGCTTGACAAGAATTTCTGTTCAGTCATATCTCTCCAACAAGTTGTAAGTGGCTTGATTACCAATTACTACCATTTGCAATTGATCAATGAATTATCTGAAGGTCCTTTATAAGATCGATAAAACAAATTCTTGAATGCAAAATAACCACTCGTAATTATGGAGCTGTGATAAGGTAGAAGCTGTGCTGGGATCTCATTAACATACAGAAGGCCAGGAGACACAAGGAGGTCTATAATATCATTCCCAAAAGCTGCTGATTTCCAGAGTAAGATTGTGACGGGGACTCTGCTTTTCACACAGTGGATCTGGCTTCCTCCATGGGCGTGTAGGAATGGCAGCTTCTAATTCCTTGTGTACTTCATCTTCAGTGTCTGTTATTGAGGTTAGTACATTTCTACTAAGATATCCTGTGATTCCATCGCTATAAAGATGAGAACTATATCTTACACCAGAGTAATGACCATCACCACCAGCTGAACAGATAAATCAAAGTAGAAATGAATCCATTTTGGACCATTGCACTGAAGAGTCCCTTGGACTATGAAATGTTAGCTTTGCCAAAGGCCTGGTACTTCAGTTTGTATTAAAGAACAAGGACCACAATGTTGAGACAAAAAGGGGCACAGGGATCCCTCTGTAGCCTCAAGTAACTTTAAATGAATCCTTTGGTACAGCTGGTCGGGGGACAGACAGAGAAAAGTGTGCATGTAAGGCATCATGTGCACATTGCTAACAATGACATAAAAATTGTGTTCATACCGTGGCACCTAATAGCACTTTCCATAGAGAATTCAATTAATCTAACCCTTATTTACTGAGAATTCACGGTCCAGTAGCTCAGTATTCACTGATTGAACTTGGACACTGAGTATTCTTAGGAGCCATTCATTTCAAATACACTGGGCAAAAAGCAGTGGCTAGAAAATGAGCTTAAAGATACTCATTTTTTCCTCTCCCGAGTATTCATATTAGACATTACTCATTTACAAGGACTGAGAAATAACTGAATATGATAATAAGTAACTGGTGATTCTATTTGTCCAGGCTAAAAGAAAGAACAATGTGGCTCTTGTAGCAGTGATGTCACATGAGTTGGGCCATGCCCTTGGTATGAAGGATATTGCATATAGTACCAAGTGTCCCTCTGGCAGCTGTGTGATGAATCAGTACCTGAGGTAAGATGGTATCATCCCAAAGTAAAGAGAAATATCCCCATTCCTAAATAAATGTACTATGCATATGTGGTAAGGGTACCTTCTCACAAAGGCTGAGTATCCTATTAATCCAACCTGCAGCTTCTTCATGCATTTATTTTACCGAAATTCAAGACTCATTCATTAAGATTTCTAAATATACAATCATAGAGTTTATTATTATGGTGACTACATCATTTTAACTTAAGGTTGTTTTAATTCAAATTGGTACCATATTTCCTAAAAACACTATCCTGGTTAAGGCAACAATTTTATCCCAAGATAAACATATCTTCATCCCCACCACCGACTGAGCAGTCTATTTTAACACATTCATTTATTATCTCACAATGCCGGTTACTTTATCAAGACTTTGGACAGAAAAAAAGTATGGACATAGCATCTTCTGTTACTGAGATGCTCACAAATTAGAAGTTTGCCCATGAATCATGGGAACTTTCACTTATTTCCTTTAACTAGACCATGATGTTATCTCTTACTGATAAGCCCTCGGTGTGAGATGAGTAGATGGTAACAATGGTAACACTAATCTCGCTTGTTACTTTGGGTAATCTTGAACACCTGTGATGGTTAGCCATCTATTGCTGGGCATGCAGCCTGCCCACACTAACTTAGTACCCAGTTCTTGTTAACTTGAAACAATTTAGAACCATCTGGGAAGGTATTTTCAATGAAAGATTGCACCTTGTGTTGGCTTATGGGTCTGTGGGGGTTGTCTTAAGTAAGCCAATTGATTTGGCTGGACCCAGATGACTTTAGGTGGTGCTATTCCCTAGGAAAAGTGTCTTAAACTGTGTAAGAGTAGAGAAACAGGGCTGAGCAGACAAAAAAGTGAGTATGCAGCCATTTCTTTGCTCTTGACTGGATATGATGCCACTAGCTGTTCTGACTTCCCTTTTTCTCCTAAGTTACCTTTTTTTCAGGATATTTTATCATAAAAATCTAACTAGGACAATCATAATGAGAGTTTAAATGCTTTCCTCTCCACTTATGGATCACTAGGATCAAACATTCGATGAGGATATTACACATGCTTCACTACCCACCATAGACAGCATAGAGATGTTCTGGACAGTGACTAAACTTGAAGTTTCCACTGAACTGGGTTCCACAGTGAGATCCATTAAATCCATCTATTATTACCCACAAGCTTCTACACAGTACATAATTCTATTCTATTTTTTCTATTACAGTTCAAAATTCCCCAAGGATTTCAGTACTGTCAGTCGCTCACTCTTTCAGGGATTCTTTTCATCTAGAAATGTAAGGTGTCTGCAGCTGGCACCTAGTCCTGAAAATATAATAAAACCAACATGTGGGAACCAAGTTCTGGAAACGGGGGAAGGCTGTGACTGTGGCTCTCCTGAGGTATGAAAATACATGTGTCTAAAAGTTGCATTTATTAAGATTTTAAAGCAGTACCTATGGTGTAAAAGTTATACACTTTAATTTTCCATTTTGTTCTTTAAAAGATTGTTTTGTGTGTGTGTATGTGTCTGTATGTATGTAAGTATGTTTATGTACATACATATAACATGAAGATCAAAGAGAGGGTATCACACCCCTTATCACTGGAGATATAGGACAAACAGTAGTGCTGGCATCTGAATCTTGTCCTCAAGATCTGAACCCTTATCAGTAAGTGCTCTTAATTGCTGAGCCCTCTCTCCAGATCTCTTTACTTTTTGCAGTGTTCTTTAGAAATTCTTTCCGGAGATGATGAACTTGATATCAGACTCTGACATGGATTTGTTAATGCATGGTGCTTTGCTTTTGCTTTTAGTTAACTGCACTATGAAAAGTATACACACACACACACACACACACACACACACACACACACACACACACACACACACCAAAACCACCAGCATCTGTTTATGGCATGATTGCACAAAGCCAAATGTAAAGAAGGAACAGTTACTCCACAGCATGCCACAATCCTTGTAGACACAGAGAAATTCCCTAGTTTTAGGCTAATGAAATGATGAATCCATGTGAAATTTGGGACTTAATTATGATTTTTATGACAGGTCTTAGACATAATAGAAAGCGTCTTAGGTTTCTGTACATCAGGGCATCTATTCAGAAGCTTAAATTATGTATTAGACTCTTAATGTAGTTGTGTCAGAATTTGATTACTTATTTGTAAGTATTTTCACATTTCCTTTTGTGCTGTCTAAGGCCCTCTTTTTGATGCAGGTTATGATTGTCTGATGCTATATTTGATGCCATTTTCTTATTATCCTAGCGACTTATCAAGTATTTGTAAGAGTTGACCCCAATTTATTCTATGTAGGGAATTATATCCCAGACATAATGAAAATATAGTTTATGCTTTATAGTTATTATATCTTTATATCTTTTCCAGGTCTCATGGCATTTACTAAATTTCCCCTAAATAATGATAATCTTTGTTCCATCCTTGATTTTTTGGGGTGGGTTTTAGGCTATTTGTTATCTATGTTTCTTTATGACGATGATCTATCATTTACCCACAGCGTACATAAATAAGGAATCATGTTTAAATGCTTAAGTTTTGGATGCCAAAATCATCTACTAATATTGCTACTTAGCAAAATATCAGCAACTGTCCCTTAAGTTCCTTAATTTGATGGATTCCATTTTTTTATCTGTATGATCAGGCAACCCTTACATTTTAGATTAAGAAAACTCACATAATTGAGTTATTATATTGATAAACTGGAGTTTAACTAAAATAGTGCATGTGTTTGTGTGTGCACATGCATCTGTGCTTGTGTGTGTGTGTGTGAGAGAGAGAGAGAGAGAGAGAGAGAGAGAGAGAGAGAGAGAGAGAGAGAGAGAGAGAGAGAGAACAAACAAGACACATCTCAAAAACATTATTATTCAGACATGGAAAAAATTCCATTTTAAATTGAATTTTTCCTCTACTTTGAGTAGTACAGAGATGTTCATCCTTGAAAATTTCAACAGATTTAAGAGCAATACCTTCTAGACAAAATTGACTTGAGTGAATTCTTTGCAATTTTCCTCTCTTGGTCTTTAATGACAGTATTCATTGAGCACAGCATCTCCTCCTATTATTGACTTCCCCTGTTTATGATCACTGGAATTGGTACAACAGAAGAAATAAGTTTAAAAAGGGAAACTTCTGTGATAAGACTTGAGAGTTGCACTAATTTCCAGTTTAGAAATATGAATTTAGGAACAAGTTTTATTATGTCCAGCTAGCAGTTTTAACCTTGGGCCTTGTAAGCTCCTCAGTCATGGATTCTTGACTAGGTTTCCAGTTCCAGGTATGAGTTTCCTCCTGTGTCCAATCAGAAAGCAATTGGCTGCCCTGCCCTGTAACATTTGATTGCACTGCAGTGGATGGTATCTTGCTTAGTAATATATGGGTTATTGAAAGTAAAAGAAAGCCAGGCCTGTGGCAACACTCAGGATGCAAAGAAGGCAGATCTGCGAGTTCAAGGCCAGCCTAGTCTCTATAGGAAGTTCTAGGACAGTCAGGGCTACATAGAGAGACGATGTCTCAAAAACAAAAAGGGTCATGAAGTTGAGAGGGAATGGAAAGGAACTGGGTGGTTCTGGGAGGGAACAGCAGGGCTAAATATGATCAAAATATATTCTATGAAATTCTCAAATAATTAACAAATTGTTATACCATAAAAAGTGAAAACTTCTTTCAATGTTGTCTTGCACTAAACTCAGGGATTGTTTTATTTGTTCATTGTAGGAATGTACCAATATCTGCTGTGAGCCCCTGACATGTAGGCTGAAATCCCAACCTGATTGCCAAGAAGAAACATCCAACCATATCACGTGAGTACCATCTTGTCCATGTTTCCCAAGTATCTTCATGCTTTTCTTTCATATTTCACAAAGGTGTCCCTCTGAGCTCAATAACACACTAAAAACAAAGTTCACTTACACTTTTTAAATGTCTTAATTTTGTAGTGAAGAGAAAATATATTATGCACAAAATCATGGCTATGTAGTTGGTCACACAGAGATGAGAAAATGGGTTACTCTGCCATTTATGAGATTATAGTTTCCCGGACTTCTGTTAAGATTGGTGTAGCTTCCTATAGTTAGGATGTCAGTATGAAAAGAACTAAAGTGTATTTCTAACAAGACTTGAATGACAAGCACAATTCATTCTCCTTTAGAGATGATAGCTATTGTTTGCAAGGTAGTCAGAAATCACTAACCTTTAAGAACTCAATGCAAGAGTTGACAGCTTCTTCCCTTTTAAAATGTCTCGGTGGAATACAATCCAGGTATTGTTTTGGGGTGACCTCCAGATCAGTGTGCCTTGGGGGTAAGAAAACAATGGCTTGATGCTTGGGATTAGGCTTCTGTTTGGGTATTAAACAGTCTCTGTATATAAAGACTGTCAACAACAGGTATCAGAAACCTTGGACTCAGGAGACTCTTTCTCAGACATTTCCAGGAATTAAAACAGCAAGGGAAGTAAATAAAACAACCAACTCCAACACCATTCAGTATCACTTCTCCAAGGAAAGAAATAAGAAAAAAGAAATTGAAGATTACTTTTCTGTTTACCTAGCAGTGTTGAGTACTTCAGTAAACTACAATGTGAGTTTACTTTGCAGAGAATTCTGTAAATCGTGCCAAGATCAGAAGTAGAATATATATATATATATATATATATATATATAAAGTAAAAAGCAGAACAAAACCATCAAACAAAAACCTTAGTTCTTTGGGGAGCTGAAATGATAACTAACTATGCCCTTTTCTATGTAAAATGGGAAGTTCAGCATTAACTGAAGAAAATTGAGTTTGGACTCTAGATATTTAAATTCTAGTCTTAATTCTGCAAAAATTATATATGGTTTAAGACAAATTACTAAATTCCCTTAATTCTTGAGCCATGAAACTACTGATATGCTCTCCCAGTGTGGTTGCTAGTATTGTTTAGTCTATAAATTTCCATTTGTGTCAGTCCAAATATTTTATCAGATAATAACCATTACCTCTGTATTTTGTTTTTTCTTTAATTAGAGAATGATCCAGTGTCTACTTCACTGAGAAGCTCCTTTGCCAGGACAAAAGTCTAGAATGTGATACGACAGGAGTCTTTCATAGTTTCACTTTGTGCTTCTATATAGACTGGCTTCTGAATGCAATGTATGAATCCAGAGATTCAGCCACTGAGCAATAACATCCCAAATACACTTGTATCTGTAGTGACTATATAGATATTTTCTCAATATTTCCTAAATAATGCAGTGTATCAACTATTTGCATAGCATTTTGTTGTTGTTATTGATTAGGTACTATAAATAGTCTCGATATGACATTTAGAAGAACTTCAGTAGATATGAGAAAATATACTCCAGTTCTTATAAAGGACCTCCAGTTCAGAGATTTAGGTATCTCTGTGTTGTGTTCCTGTAGCCAATCTCTAGGAGACACTGAAGGAAGACCTTTGTTTTTCAGTTTCCATTCTACTTTCTGTGTTTCTACCAGCACAGCCAAGACAGGTAATTAGATGTGAGATGCTGCATGTATGTTCAGGTTTTATCTGGAGTGGGAATGCAAGAATCCTGAAGGGTGGTTTTAGTTTTAATCTTTGGAGAACAAAAGAAATGAACCTTTGATGAAATGCCTCAACACACTCCACTGAATTGTTGAGTTGATCCCAAACTGCAAAATGACAAGTAATTTAACCCTAAACCTCTTTGCTGATGTAGAAATAAAAAAATGTCGTCTTCTGAGGGAGAGAGCTAGCAGAAAAAAGAGCAGAGCCCTAGTCTCTTGCTATTCCTCACTCTAACTCCTATAAGCGTCTCTACTTTGCTATCTCATGGAATATTGGTTATATCCAAACACTTCTCATTTGATAAAATATAGTTTCTCCCACTGTCCTGTGTAAGATTCATTTTACAAAGTCTGTGTTGCTTGCAAATTGGTGGAAATGGAAATGTAAGGCTTCATTCTTTGATTGGTGTAGTAAACTATGCTATTAACAAAAACCATGATTTCTGTGTGATTATTTTCAAAAAACTGAATGTTTCAAACTTATTTATATGAGTCAAGATCCTGGTTATTGTTCACCCTAGAAACAATATGCCTCGATTACTTCACACCCTATGCAGATGTGGGCTGCAAAGGAGGGGCTACTATAGGAAGCTCCTTGCCAAATCTACCTAAAAACATACAAACCAAGACAGGATGTTTTCAAAAAGAGGTCACACTTAACCCCAAATATTGTTAAAAATCTAAGCCCTAAGAAATTGGTGGACTAAAATTTCCTGCTAAATAAATCTTATCATGAAAAGATCCACTTTTTATTTTTGTTTCTTTTTTAGATTTTATTAATTACAACATATAAGATAAATTAATTACAATATTCCCCCTTCCCTTTCTTTCTTCCAGGCCATTTTATATACTCCTCCCCACTCTTCATCAAATTTGTGGGTTTTATTAATCAATTGTTTTTGCATATATATGTATCTTTATATATAGGCATATATTACTACATATATCCTGTTGAGTCCATAGTATGTTATTTCTATGTATGTTTGCAGGGCTGACTGTTTGGAATTGCACAGCAATTAATGTTCTCTTCCGTGGTTAGGATCACCTATTCCACTCCCAGCTTTACCCACTTGTCTGTAGTGTTTTGTGTAGGGTTGAGGCCTCTAAGGTTTTCCCCCACCTATCCTTTTACAGAAAGCAAACTTAGATATTTGGACAGCAAAAAGAATGCACATAATTAACATGTCACCAAATCAGTAATGTAATATTTATGAAATTATATGGGAAAGGTAGTCATTGCTAGGTCATTAAATTGTTCAGAGAGTCATTGATGAGATTAAGAGTTAAGTGCTAATTTTATTAGTTGTTGAGTGATTGACATGTTTCAAGATAAAACATCTGCAGGATTTACTTTTGATGTTTGGCAATCTGCATGCAATCTCATTAATATATGTGATGCATTTTTAACATCTAGAAATAGCTTTTCATGAACACAATTCTACTTCTATCACCCCTCGAAACACAAAACTCTATCACACTTCTGTAAGATGCCTAAATTTTCCAGAGAATTTTCTCTTTTATTTTTGCCACTTTGATACTTAATCAAATGAGTTAGTCATGCAGGAATATTCTACAGGAGGAGAATCTGTGATCAAAAAAAGGTGACTTATCTAAGGCCATCGAAATCCTAGAGTAAACACAGAACAGAAGTTCATGCCCTAAACCCTAAGTTTAGGATGGCCACTGTCTAATTTCTTTCTGATGAGTTCTTCCTAGAAACGGATAGACTACCCAAAATACAGACTTTTGAAAGTAATTAATGATTTATGGTGAAAATACTTGGTGATTTCTTAGAGCACCAGGTGGGACTAGGAAGTATCCAGGAGCTCAGAGCATGAATGTCCACAGATAGCTTCAAAATTGTAGGTTTAAGTGTGATCACAGGTATGTAGAACATATGTGGAATAAAAGAGCCAGGGGGAGGAGACACTTTCTTTGGGTTCTGGTTGTGTCCTGCCCTGGAGAGCAGTTTGTGGACCTTTGGTTCTTGGGTTTCTTGGCTTTTCACATAAGTGACTTCTCCCTCAATAAAATATCATAGGACATCCCTATTTTGTGTAGCTTAATATTTCTGCATAATCTGGTGTCAGGAAGTAGGTTTACCCAGCCTCCCCAGCTGGGTGCTAGCCATGAGTGGCCTACAGCCTGGTGCGTCTTGGCAGTCCCGGAGGCCCTCCAAGTCACTAGGGTTTCCCAACCCATTCCTGTTGTCCTGCTCTGGGTGGGTTCCATCTCCTTTGTTCTCTGGCCATGTTCCCGGACCACCAGCGTTCCTGGAGACCATGTGTCTCCACAGCCCTCTCGTTGCTAGCCCAACAAGTCCCAGTCCCCAGGGAGCTTGTAGAACAGGCGCTTCTGAACAGCTGCCAAACACCTCGGCTTCCCCTGACTGCAAGCCTCACTTCTCTCAGTGGTTGCTAAAAGGAGAATTCCTGAAAGCCATGCAGTGCAGTGTTCACTTTCCTTCCTGCCGGTAAGGTTCTGCAGGACTCCATACTTGCAGGTTCCTGCAATCTGCGCAGGGTATTTTCCCTTCCTTTTAACATAATCCTCCTGTCTAAATTTGTGTAAAAGCTACTTAGGATTTTTCAGATTCCACTGGGAAAATACAAAGCACCAGTGGAGGAGCTGTGTTTAGCGGTACACCTTTGCCTCCTGATGGCCAAGCATAGTTACTGCAGGTAAAAATCCTTTCCTCAACACAAGATAATTTGAGGTAAGTTTTACATTCTGGCAGTTTAAGCTGGTGATAAGATTACCTACTCTATACCATGACAGATAATCTTACAATGCAGAACATTAGGGATCTCATTGCTTATTACATGAATGACATCCTGAGAGAGGATTATAATATGCCCCAAACTTATTTATGTCTGATTCTAATGATTAACGTCATAATCATGTAACATACTGGAAGAAAGGGGAGGCCTTGATAATAGGGCTGAAAGCAGTGAAATTGTGCAAACTATTGAGAAATTAGAGACAAAAATTCAAAATCTTGAGGTCAATGGGTAAATGTATAACAAAGTAAATAACTTAGAACTTAAATCTACTGCCCTCATGGCCAAAATAGAATCCATTCAGGATGACATTATCATGCTGTCAGAAACAACCCATTCCACGTCTGATGACTCAATTAATAGAACTCAAAGACTGGACCGTCAGATTGGTGAACTTATTGAAACAATTCATTCGATGTCTGAGGATAGTGACTGGCTATCAGACAGAACACTGTTCCTAGAAGGCAACTTACATGCTATTCAGATAATATCCAAGGATGAGAATATTAAATACTTGGAATCACATATAAATTATATATCCAAGAAACTGCAATAAACTGACAGACTCTATGAAGTCCTTAGAAAAATTTTTAACCCAGGAAGTACAAGCACTCAGAGAAACAATGGTCAATAGGCTTTAGGTCTTAGATGATCTCCAATCTGATACATCAGAATTGAAAGTACTAGCAACAGGTTATGATAGAGGTTTACCTATACCTCTCAGATGCTGGAAAGACCTTCCTAAGGTTGTTATGCCATCTCCCATGGTCTTTCAAGTACCTATCACTGAAAAACCAGCAATGAAGAAGCATCCAAATGGTTTTGTTGCTTACCAGTGGGAACCGATACAGATGAAGGACCTCGAGGGAATCAAACAAGCCATTGTTTCTTATGGTATTCACTCCCCTTATGTCAGGTAGTTACTGAATTCTTAGACAAGCTCAAATAGGGTGACCCCAAAGGATTGAAGTCAATTGATCTCAGGGATGCTAGAAAATTCATCTCAAATAGAATGGAGAGCTTTGTGGAGGGAAGAAGAAAAGGCCAATGAGTTTCAAGGCCTAAAGAAGGGTTATGAAGCTCCACAAGATAAGATTCTTGGTGATGGTGCTTATGCTAACCCACAAGCTTAGTCTGCATATTATGAACATATCTTGTCTTTATGCCGTACAGCAGCTCTGAGTGCTTTGAATAAGGTTCATGAACCAGGAGAGGAAATAGAACCTTAAACCAAAGTGGAACAGGGTCCAAGAGAAAAGTTCACTGAATTTTTGGAAATATTCTAGAGCACTAGAATTACAGGCAACTGATTCAGATTCTAGGAGAATATTTATAGAATCTCTAGCTTATGAGAATGCAAATCCACAGGTACTTTAGCCACTAAAAATCAGATCAGCACCATTGGATGAATGGGTCTTGGATACAGCTACCCTTGAATATAAAGATCAAGATTCTATCTGAATAGGAGAAACATTGGGTGGAGGAAAGATGACAGCTCATCCACAAAGTCATATTCTACAAGGGGCAAGGAGACCTCACAAAAGGAAACAGAAGTGTTTTGCTTTTGCCTTCACAGGAAAACCCATCTCCAAAAAGCGAAAAGATACTGAACGTGTGGATACCCAAAGAAGAGATGATGGCTATCCAAAGTACCATCAAACAAAGAAGAATGTAATGTCTGGTATCAATGTCTAATTCTCTTAACTTTGTCCTTATAAAATCTGTTTCTCTTTACTTCCTAGTACTCTTTTGGTCCCTATTCACTTAAACCAACACTGGCTTTGGAATTGGATTTGGCTCTCCTCCTCTATATCCAAGCATGTTGTTAAAATAAAATTCAGAGTTTCTGTATTATATCAAGTAGCCAATTGGTGTAAGACAGAAGAAAACAAAATCTAGGGACTGTCATCTGTTTATACTCAGTTCTTTTCTGAAAGTCTCATTTCCCTTATATTTACTATCTTACTTATTGCTGCCTTTCCCGGTACTCATACATATAAAAGTTGAAATTTCTTTGTTGACATTAACCTTTAAGTTTTCCACACAGAACAAGGAATTCCTTAACAGCAATATTCAAAAACTTCAGAAAGAAAATGGGACCCCACTTCATCAACTCCACCTGATCCGACTTGATGAATCTGAACTGACAAGTACCATCCTGAACCTGGTTTGGAACTACATCGTTCTACACAACAACAGACTAATTAACAGACATGCTGCACCTTCTACACTCTGTAAAAGGCCTCAGACAAGAGCTTCAATCAACATAAGAACTTCAATCAAGAACTTCAGTCAAGCATCTCCTGCCAAACAGAGACTGGATACAAATGTTGTAGCCAGTCCCCTTGAGACTTTCACTACAGTAACATTTTCTTCCTACAGGATCCCATGAGGTTATCATCATCTCATTTCAGCAGGAAGCAATTCTGAGAATACTACGCCCCCTTTCCTTACTGTTGATATTACAGGATAATTTATACCTGCTAGGGTTATTTTTCAATTATTTAGGACTGGGATTGGGTTTGGTCACAGGTACATAGATCTCTCCCTACAAATCTTTCTACACACACACTCACAAAGACTCACACTCATAAAGATACACATGCACACACACCCTCATACAATCATACATTTTGCACTTATAATTTCCCACACCCACCGTATACCCATGCCTTCTACAGGTGGCCACAGAGCTGATATCCACAAACTGTACAGTGCGGATCTCCATTTTAATAGCTTTTATTTGTAGCTATGATTAGGTGTACAGTAAGGTATCTATTTTTCTAGACTAGCTCTTTATTTAGATTTTGTTAGGAAAGCAGTAAGTTAAGATGTGTTCATAAGGAGTAATCTGATCCCTTACTCTATGAACTGACATAGTTGAGCAGCCCAAAGACAATGAGCTGAGCTCAGGGTACACAAAAATGAAAGATTTCTTTTGTATGTTTGTTTGCTTTGTTCTAAGTCCAGAGTGTGAAAGGAAAGGGTCAAATACTGTGTGAGGATATTAAAGGAGTTAGACTGAGTGGATTAGAGGAACTGAACATTCTGGGCATAGGCTTAGAGAGCAGATCACTTCCTGTGAAGAGACATGAAAGTGACCAGAATTCCTCCCCAAAGTATCAGGCCTTAGCGTTTCCCAACCCAAGCCAGTCAGACAGGTGCAAGAAAATCTGCTGAGCCATGAAAGGGGGATTTGTACTTCATGGGATTTCATGATTCACTCATCAGGGTAATCACTGTCAATGTGACACTGTTATTTCCTCTGAGAACTAAACTTAGTCTAACCAGAAACTAATCAAGTTTGTTAACTTTCTTCTCCCAGATTTCACTCAAGGGAAAAGCAATCCATTTCATTGTGCATGCTCTTCCAACTTCAGTCTGAAGCCAAACAGTTCTGGATAAGGACAAGATATGAGGATTATGGGTTCAAAACCACCCTAGGCTACATAAAATGTTCCAGGATACTCTGAAAACTGTTCCAAAAAGAAAGGGGTGTGTGGAGGTGGGGTGGATGGTGAGACAGGTAACCGATAAAAACTACTTTCAGGTTTCGTAGAGGGCCCAGGTTAGGTTCCCAGCATCCACATAGTGGCTTCCAACTGGCCGGTAATGCCAGCTTCAGGAGGTCTGAGGCCCTCTTATAGCCACTGTGGGCAGTAGGAAACCAGATACACAAGTGGTGCACCAACATGCATGCAGGCAAAATGCTTCCTCATAAAGTAAAAAGAAAAAGTCTTTTTAAGTGGGGCGAAGGGAGCAAGACGAGAGAGAGAACGAGAGAGAGAACGAGAGAGAGAGAGAGAGAGAACGAGAGAGAGAGAGAGAGAGAAAGAAGAGGGGCATGGCTTTTTGTCTATTCTTCTGTAGACAGTGTCTTTGATCATGACATTCCTTCCCACCCACCTGTGAATTGATTTTAAATTGGTACTTTGTTGACTAGTGTTCTAGACACATGTCCTTTGCCTCCAATACAGGCCTCCAATACTTCAGACAAATCATGTACATGTGCATAACTAGCCTTTCCATTTCCTTAAGGCCACACTTCCATGATTCACAGACTTACATTGCTGAAATCTGATTTGCCATCCCCCCCTTTCTGTGTGTGTTTGTCCTGAACAAGATCAGCTGAGCTTCCTTCAATGGAAATAGTTTCTGTTGCTCTTTCTTTCAGAAACCACATTCTTTTCTTTTTATACTGATGTCTATGAAATATTTCAAATAAATGTCCACGTGTGGTGTCAGTTAAAGCCTGATGTTCATTTTTTCCACAAATATAGCCAGCTTTCTAACAGTGTTGTTGAAAGAACAAGTAGCCTGTTTCCCTTGAATCCTCTTAGTGTATGGTCAAAATGTGTGTAAGAATGACTACAGAATTAAATAGAGAATTCTCAACAGAGGAGTCTAAAATTACTGAGAGGCACTTAAGAAAGTGCTCAATATCCCTAGCCATCAGGGAAATGCAAATCAAAACAACTCTGAGATACCTTCTTATTCCCATCAGAATGGCTAAAATAAAAAACACCAATAACAGTTTATGCTGGAGAGGATGTGGAGAAAGGGGAACACTCCTCCACTGATGGTGGGAGTGCCAACTCATACAGCCACTTTGGAAATCAGTATGAAGATTGCTCAGGAAAATAGGAATCAGCCTACCAGAAGACCCAGCAATTCCATTCTTAGGCACATATCCAAAAGATGCACATGCATCAAGGGCATCTGTTCCACTATGTTCATAGCAGCATTATATGTAATAGCCAGAACCTGGAAGAAACCTAGATGCCCTTCACCTGAAGATTGGATATAGAAAATGTGATACATTTATACAGTGGAGTACTACTTACTGGAAAAAAATGGAATCTTGAAATTTTCAGGCAAATGGATGGCACTAGAAGAAACCTTCCTGAGTGAGGTAACCCAGTTACAAAAAGAGAAACATGGTATGTACTTACTCATATATGAATTTTAGACATGGATCAGGGGAGTGTCAGCCTACAGTCCCACTGCCAGAGAGTCTGGGAAACAGAACCTTCAACCAATGACTGATGGAAGTAGAGGCAGACACCCACAGCTAAACACTGAGCTGAATTTAAGGAACCAAGTGACAAAGAGGGAGGATTAATTAATAGGGGTCAAGACTGGGCTTGTTTAACCCACAGGATCAGCTGACCTGAACAAGGGAGAGCACTTGAACCCCAGGCTGATGTTTGTGAATCCAGTTTGGGACTGATTCAGACCCACTGAATGTGGGTGTCAGTGAGGAGGCCTAGGTAATCTATGCAGCCTTGGGTAGTGGATCAGTATTTACTCCTGGCATACAAATGGACTTTGGGTGCCCATCCCACTATGAGAGATTCTCTCTCAGCCTGGACTCTTGGGAGAGGGCCTAGGCCCTACCCTGAACAAAATGACAAACTATGAATATCCCCCATGGAGGACTCACCCTCTCTGGGGAATGGAATGGGGATTGGGGAAGTGGGATTGTGGTGGTTGGTGGGAGGGCATGGGAGGAGAGGAGGGAAAGGAAGAGGGAGCTGGGATTGACATGTGAAGCAAACTTGTTTCTAATTTAAATTTAAAAATAAAATAAACAAACAAATAAATAAAATAATGCATTTTGGCCCTTCTTTTCTCATCTGTTCATCCAAGTGCCTATTGTGTAACCTTATTAATCCTCCCAGTTGTTCTTATGACTAGTCACGTTACTTGGACACCAAGAATCTCTTGGCAGTGCAGCCATGTGGAACCTGTCCAGCCTGATCAAACTAAGGGAGTCCTATTGTATCCTGATGCTCTCTCTTCCCTTTGTCCTATGCAGTGACCATCTGGGCCCACATGACATCTTCCTTCCAACAACATATTTTCATGGACATCATCTCCTCTGATTTGCTTTCCAAATATTGCCAGATCTTCAATTTCATTTTACTGTTACCATGTACAGAATGAACATTTCAGCTTTTTAATCTGGAGAGATGTGTGTGTTTGGAGGGATACCTCACATCTATTGTTAGTGGACATTGGACAGTTTTTTCTTAAACTATTGTTTATTATTAATTTAGGATTAAATATTTCTTCCTTTCATTAGATAAACTAAGGTATAGGCTAAATAACAAACGTGTGGGATATACCAGAACACTTTTCCTGGCCCAGCTACTTATACACAGTGGGTGCAGAGCTGCTATCCCAATAAAAAAATTCACCAGTTTTCCCAGCACTGAATATCAAACTCAAGTCTCTGCATTGTAGACAGACATTCTACACACAACAGTATGCATGTGCTAGTGGTGTGGATGTGTATGTTTTAAAGCTGTTTTTGGAGGTGCTTTTCTCTTTTTCAAGAACAAATATGCACTCTGCTTCCCTTTTGTTAGGCAATTGTGACATCTGCTGTCAGAAGTAAAGAACTTAACTCCAGTCAAAAGCAGGCTGTTACTGTGAAGGCAATTGTATTCTCAAACTGTGAACCTCTAGGAAAAGGTGAGCAGAGAAGAGTCAGTTTTTCCTCTTGTTGAAAGTCCAGTTTACATCAGGTTGCATTTTGTATTGAAATATTGTGGGCAGCCCCAGGATTATCTTTTTCCTGTCTCTTGATGTTTTTCACAGAATGAGATGGTGAGCAATTGAATGACCACTAGGAGGGCAAATATTTGCAGATCTTCACTAACTTTGGGGCTACTTACTTCCTAGATCCTTCAGTGTGTTTGTAGACATGTACAATACAGGAGATTTCAGTCCCTGACTGGCTGGCCTTATTGATATTAGATCTGAGGCGTTACATCATAATGAAAATGTATTGTGCATGTGGGAAAACCAGTAACTTCCTGTGGAAAAGGAAGTGTGCAGAGTGCCACAGACCTGCCTTCTTGCAACTTAAGTTACTTTCTTTATCTAGTTATGTGAGTAGATATTTGTTTTACTGATTTTTGGATCTTCTTTGCAGCTCTCTGTCACTCTCCATGTTATAATTGCTCTAATTGTGTCTCTTAGGTTTTGAGGTTTTACATTTTCTTGTCAATTTCCTCAGCTAATTCTGATTCCCTGCTCAACCATTGGTTCAAAACACACTGTTTACTTTCCTCATGAATGCAGATTTTCATAACATGATGAGGAAAGATATTTGTTATAATTTCAGTGTTTTCAAATTTATTGGAATTTGTCTTGGGGATGGGCATGTGCATCCAGGGAATGAATATTCTAATGCAATTGGATTGAGTTTTTGATAGAACTCCAGTGTACAGTCTCTCATCATCATCATCAAACAACTCTTCCATTAAGAATTCATAGAGATAGTGGATTTGTGCATTAAGCACATATAGTTGGATCTTGCTTTTATTTGTTCTCTCAAACATCATTGTCTTCTGATTAGGAATATTTGTACTCACAAGTAATTACTAATAGAAATGGACTTATGGCCATGTTTTGCTAGACTTTATCCATAATTTCTGTCTTCTTATTTCCCTTATGCTGATTTTTGTAGAAAATTATTTGAGTTATTTTTAGTTTACATGGATGTATGTGTATGCATGTGCCTGCTTGCCTATATGTGCCCTGGGTGCATGTAGTAGGCACAGACACTAAAGAAGGGTGTCAGAAACCCTGGAACTGGAGATACAGATGGTTGTGAACTACCATGTAGGCACTGGGAACTAAACCTTGGTCCAGTGCAAGAGAAATGGGTGCTTTTAACCAATGATATATCTCTTGAGTCCTGTGGTAAAATATTTTTATTTCCTTATTTTCTTTGTGATTCGTATGTACAATATATTATTCTAATTTAAGTTGATGTGAACTTCAAATTTCTATCTTCTACTCACTGTATATAACCAGTGTCACATGCCATATCTTCATTCATTGAACACTCATTACTAGAGATTAATAATTGTGTACATTTATTTTTAAAAACTATAAACAAAACAAATGGGTTAGAGGTTAATAATGTAATTATCCTTTATATAGCCATCCATGTATTCATCTTTGCTAAATAATTTTGTGTTTGTATATGAGCAATTTCTGGTGTCTTTGTTTCACTTTATAATTGCTTATAAGGCAGGGAATAAATGTTATAAGCATTTGTTTATCCAGGAAATTCTCTCTCATTTTTGTAAGACAGTTTTTTTATCATTTTTTATTTTAATTTTAAATAGCTTGTTTTACATGTCAATCCCAGTTCCCTCTCCCTCCCCTCCTCCTGCACTCCCCTTCCCCCCCCACCCTCCCACCCTATTGCCAAATCCTTCCACATAGGGGATATCTAGAGTCTGTCACTTCACTCTGGGTAGGGTCCAGGCACTCCCCTAAGAGTCCAGGCTGAGAGAGCATCCCTCTTTGTGCTGTAGGCACACGATGACTGTTTGTATTCCAGGGATAGACACTGATCCACAGCTCAGGGCCCCATAGGTTGCCCAGGTCTTCTCACTGACACTCACATTTGGGGGGGTCCAGATCAGTCCCATGCTGGCCTCCCCACTGTCGCTCTGGGGTCCAAGAGCTCTCCCCTGTTCAGATCAGCTGTCTCTGCTGGTTTTGCCAGCCCATTCTTTGCCAATTTGCTCATCACTCATCTCTCTCTGTACTGGGTTCCTTGGGTTCAGTTCAGTGATTAATTGTGTGTTTGCCTCTGCTTCTATCAGTCACAGGATGAAGGCTCCCGGATGGTTATAGACATCAAGTTCATTATCAGGAATGGGCATTCGAGGTGGTCTCTCCACTATTGCTTAGCTTGCCAATTGGTGTTATCCCTTTAGATCACTCGAGATCACTCTGGTGCCTGATCTGTCTTCTATCCTATGATTCCCTCTTCCCCCTATTCTACTCCCACCCACTCAACTTCCTGTTCCCCCATGACCAACTCTATTCCTCTTCACCCCCTCTCTTCTTCCCAGGTCCCACTCCCCCCCACCCCTCGCCATGTTCCCCATCCATTCAGAGGATCTTGTCTCAATCCTCTTCTCTTGGGTACTATGCATATATGCATAACTTTTAGGTTCTTTCCTGTTTCCCATACTCTTTATCAGTGGAAGTGCAGACTAGCACTATCCTGATCCATGTCTAACATCCATATATGTGTGAGTACATACCATGTTTGTCTTTTTGCGACTGGGTTACCTCACTCAGGATGGTTTCTTCCAGTGCTATCCATTTACCTGCGAATTTCAAGATTCCATTGTTTTTTTCTGCTGAGTAATACTCCATTGTGTAAATGTACCACATTTTCTCTATCCACTCTTCAGTTGAGGGGCATCTAGGTTGCTTCCAGGTTCTGGCTATTACAAATAATGCTGCTGTGAACATAGTGGAGCATATGCCCTTGTTGTATGAATTTGCCTCATTTGGATATATGCCTAAGAGTGGAATTGCTGGTTCTAGTGGTAGATTAATTCCCATTTTCCTGAGGAATCTCCATACTGATTTCCAAAGAGGCTGTATGAGTCGGCAGTTTTTTCCCAAAATAGAATTTTCATTTGTCAATTTTATTATTGTAGCTCTTAAATACATTTGAATTCCCCTTTGACCTACAAAGTTCTGCTACAGAATATACTTATCTCACTGAGCAGCCTGAGTGTACCATGAGTGAAGTTTTTCTTAAATTAGAAACTATTTATCAATTCCAGTATCCTTAGTGTGTGAGTGGCTTTTATCTTGATTATTTCAGCATTCTCTGCTTGTCTCTTGATGGTGTCATTCATTATATCATGTCTACACGTGGTTCTGTGTTTTTATGCTATTTTGACTATGTGAAGCTTTGTAATTGTTTAACCATGTCTTTTCTCAGATTTGAGGAGCTTCTGACTAGTGTTTCCACAAAGAAGTGCTCGAAGACTTCCCAGCTTTCTTCTGAAATACCCCTGTCATGTAAGTTGGAATTTCCAATGCTGTCTCACCACTCTGTTTCTAGTCTCCCCTTTTATATTATTGGTTAGACTTCTAGAGTATGGCAAAGGTACACCTAAGTTTAACTTATGTCCTCTTGACACATTGCTTCAAATATAACAAACAGCTCAAGAGGCTGGGCCTGGAGTATTACAAGCTGTGGCTACATACTCACTACTGGTCAGCCCAGGACTTCATAGCAAGACTCCATGACAAAAACACAATCAAAATAAACAGAAAAAGGAAAGACAAAACAAATTCACGAGCTATACAATTTCACCCATGAAATATATTATTTTTGTTATTATCCTAATAAACCTGTCTGTTTTTAGTTTTATTTACTTATTTGTGTGCATGCCTCTGTGTGTGTGTGTGTGTGTGTGTGTGTGTGTGTGTATGTCTGTATATAGGTCTAAGAGTGGTCCAGGAGACCAGAAAAAGAGTTGTAGGAATCCCCAGAGCTGAAATTAGCTACAGATAGTTGTGAGTAATGTGACATGTATGCTGAAAACTAAGCTTGAATCCTTTTAAAGAGCAACATACTCTCTCTCTTACCTACTGAACCATCTCTCCAGTCCCACATTCTCATTTTTAAACACAAGGAAGCTTGTTAAGTCTGTCAAGATTTATATACATGTAGGTTTGCTCTTCCCTCTATCCACTCCATTCATATTGTTAGGGAAAGGGAAGAAGAAAATTATTTGATAGCTCTGTGCATGAACTTTGTGACTGACAGAAAACTATTCCAAATTCCTTGAAGTTCTCAGGGAAACCAGAACTTTTCTCTTTGTTCTTCTTGTTTTTCCACTTAGCATGGTTTTTGTTTTTGTTTATTCATTTTTTTGTGGGGGAGTAGAGTTGTTGTCTCTCTTTTGTTTGTTTTTCTAATGATGATTTTACATCTTAGTCAAATGACAATTTATTCTTTTTTAAGCTCTATTATTCATAACCTCTGACATAAAGATAATTTCTAAGAACAGTCACATGGGTCATGCATAAAAGAACCCATAAGGAACAGATTTGGGCTGTACATAGCCATGTATATGACAAACTCACATTCAAAAATGTCTTTTCTGAACGGGCCCTGTATCAGGACCTGCTTTCCAGTGCATGGGGACTGTCTGGACAATGCCACTGAGCCTCCCGTCCCAGCGGGAGCCTACCCACCCCAGATTCCAGGTCTTCCTCTCCACCAACGGGACCAGGAAACATTGTCTGGGAACTGCCATTGAGCCTCCCCTCATGGTGGGAGCCTATGCACCCCAGTTTCCTGGACTTCTCCACCCACGGGTCCAGTGCCTGGGGACTGCGATTGAGCCATCCTTCTCAGCTAGAGCCTATGCACGCCAGATTCCTGGTCGACTTCTCCACCAACAGGACTAGGCAATTCGGGTTCTGTTTCTGAGTCCACATTCCAGTGGCTGCAGGCTGCCACTGAGATTCCCCTCCAAGTGGAAGCCTATGCACCCCAGATTCCCGGACTATTTCTACACCCACAGGACCAGGACTAGGACCAGGAAGAGGACAACTACAAGATTATTGGACTTGCTTGCACCCACTGGAAGGGAACTCTGGTCCCCTAACCTCCAAGCCAGGAAGAGGCTCTT